AATTTATGTGAAAAACATTTACACATTTTACATGTACGAAGTAACAAGGTGAAGGGTAGTACTGTGTAATTGTTAAAGAAATGTCAAGGGCGTCTTTTTATCAATATTTTATAATATCCAGTATAATTACGAAATTCTGTTTTGCCAGTGCCAATTTTCTCACAAAATGTAAGGAAATACTGAAAACTTAATGGTCTTAAATGAAAGCGCGTCACGCACGCATTAAAAATGATGCAAATTGCTTGGTTCAACGGCCGGAATTTTCAATACAATCTCCTGCCCTTCATTTCATTTCTGTATTCAAATCAATGATGACCTACATTAAAAAAATTCGTACATCACGGAATTGTGGATAAACCCTCACTTTTCCCTTTAGGGAATAGGTGGTTATTTAACGACGTAGCGAAAATGAGAAAACTTTCATCAATTAATTCTGATATTTAATTTATGGAGAACAGCAGTTCATTTTGGGTCATGGCAATGTATCGAACGTGAATGTTAGCGTTACGAATTAATGCATGATAAAAAAATCAAATAACTCAAATAAGTAAAACAGAAATAGGTGTAGGTATAATATCCCATTTCAATCGTTTCAATTAATAAGGCACAGAAGTTGTTTAGTATACTTCTTTATTGACAAATTAAAACTTGACCTCCTTTCTCATATGACTTCACTTAAATTGTCATAAACAATCAAGTAAATTAACGAAACGAAGGGAACAGCGAGCGACACTTGTCATCTTGATTTTAACTTTTGTTGATTGTCTTCAATTTGTCTGGTACCGGACGGGGCGGAAATTCTGAAAGTTTTAATTATTACTCGTTTCATGAAAATGTCTTTTTCAGTTTGGAGGTCGATGATCGGTTTGGATTCCCATTGTTCATGGTCAGAATACTTTCAGCCGCAAAAAATCGCTTGAGGACGATAGAGTTGCCTTGGTTTTGTATTATGTGTTTCGCCTAATAATTTCGGATGTGTAAAATACTTCTTATAGCCCAGTCAATCTAGGTTAAATAAAAATTAAAAAAATTTTTTGGATGTTTTTGCAAAGTAAACATCGTGGGACCAGAATTTAAAATAAAAAAATGACCGTAGAGGATGAAAAAATACAAGGAGAAAAACAACACGTGAATATCGCCACCAATGGATAGCTATTTGTTGATCATACAAAAAATCAAAAAATAGTTTATACCATATAATACTGTTTACAAATGGCTTTATTGCAATTTATCTCAAAAAGTAGAGAAATACGTTCCATTCAATATTCAATATTATAGTATGTGTTTATATACAGGGTCTTGCAACAGTGCGTTGGTGTTTCCCAGTTCATACCTAGTAAAAAATATTTAAAAAATCTTTTGTGCCAGTGTTAACTACACACGGTTGTGGATCTACAGAAATTATTGCTGAATGTACAGTGTCTCATTTTTACGGTGTCAACAAATAACTAATTTTTTTAAATACTATATTTTTCCATTTCCTCTACACGAAAACCTATTCACTTTTTGGTTTTTTGTCAACGTTGCCATCTGATTAATTTTTTTCCGAACAAGCATCTCACTTTGATGAATCGTAGTCACCTTGATTATGAAGTTGATCAATAACGTTAAACACTTTGATCAAGAGAAAGTTGCATTAAGTCATTATCGATGAATTTCAGTATTACATGTATTTTATGACGGTAAGCCGCTAACTTTATATTATCCACCACTTCACAAATGTAATTTCAGCAAGGTCTGACGATGGCCTAGTGCCGAAATCGATAACCTAAAGAAAAACGTAAAAACAATTATAAGTATACAGCAACATTCAACGTTTTATTTATTGCATTTAGTCATATACAGGGTGTGCACAAGGAAATGGCAAAATTTCCACACTTCAAACTTCAAAGTGCCATAACTGTTCTTTTTCAAATGGAACTACCACTATTTTATTTCGCTATTCGATTGTCTGTTGTGTTCTTTTCAATTCTTATAAGAGGTGTCCTGTGCTTAATCCCCGTAGTTTTTAGGTTATTCAATATTTTTTACGAAAGTACCTACCCGTTAATGAATTACATGTGTATACACCGGAGTAGGTTGTGATAATAAAAAACAAAAGAATGCCAGAAAGTAAACAATTAGTGTCACAAATTAATTATTTGCTGCAAGTGTATACCTTCTATTTCGTAATAAAATTAAAAAGGTGAATTTCTAAAGCTGTTTTTTAGGACAACTTCATAAAAGAGCCCCATGCGGGTCGCGAGTCGAGGGTTACCGACCCTTGGCATGCGATATTCAGCAAGGAAATTTTTTGACACTCGGCTCACATTCAGAAATTCGGCTTATAATGCATAGCACTGATGCTTAAAGCTTAAACTCACAGAAATTGGTTGGTAAAGGTTTGACATCACTGTCTCTTTTCGTCCTCGAGTTAGACGAGGAACAGATGGACAGACGGACGGACACATACTGACATAACCACCACATAAGAGTTTCTTTCGAAAAATTCCCTTCCATTGACCTGCTCTTACTCGGCGTATACTGTATACATGACTACTGTTACGATATTTTGACAGCAAGACCAGTTCACAATTTTATTCTTAAATTTCATGAAATTCCAGGAATTCCAAATTCGGATACCAATATTCGTCGGGGTGAAAACCCCTTTTGTGGGGTGCAGCAGTGATATGCTCAAAAGACTTAGCTACAGTAATTAGTTCCATTCCTCTACGCCTTTTGTTTGCTGACAAAGAAGTAATGAAGGGATGCAAACTTTGGGACTATTAGGAACGTAGGTAGTTCCTATGGCAACGCGAAAATCATGCAACTTATTATAAAATAAAATTAACACTATACCTATTCATTACACAATTTGTTTACTTGCAATTTTAAATTAATTGTACAGCAGTAGGTACCTAGCAATACGTGTGATGTTGGGCGTTGGTTTATAGTTCGCTATTGCCGAGACTTTCGCTGATGACTCCTTCGCTCTAGCACTTCGGGAAACTTGCATTTCCACCAAATCTATTTAAAATGCTAAATAAATGTAATGGAAAAAACAGAAGCTCTCTTGTAACTAAGTTTTTGATTGGGGGAACTTTTTCATTATAAATTCGGGTCCAGGGTTCAAAATTTTATTTTTTCATGTGATGGGAAGTGGGATTAATTCATCTCAGTGATGTAACGAACGGCCTGTTGGACAGTTAGGTTTTCGAAATCATCCGGCGCATCTCTTACACCAAAAAAAAGTAAGACATTTCGAACTCTTTATTTGCGAAACGCGATCAGGCGAGGCGTAACTAAAAAATAATTAAGATTACGGCGATTAATTTTATTACCTTCGCGTAATTATTATTTTATGTGCAAATCTTTTTGAAGAAAAACAACCCGGAGAAAAATTAATAAACGCGCGCAAACTTTTTATACGGGAAAATGTAATTGGAAAATTTAAATTCAAAGGCCACGTTACGTAGTTTCGAGGTTTATTTAACATACAAATGTACGATACGTTATTTGCTCACATTATCGTGTTAAGGTTGTTTCGTTCATTTTTATGTAGGTATTAACTTGCTTCCAGTTTGAGTGGTGTTTCAAAAATGAATCTTAAACATAAGGTAAATCTTTTCAAATTTATTATTTTAAGCATTTTTTTCTGATTACGTTACATTCTTGTGATGCGATAATGAGCGCTAAACGGTTTTGTACATATTTGAGTATGAGATATCTTGCTAAAAAAAAGAGCGTCTGTAAATGCTGTATTTACATATTAATATCAGCATTATCTCAGGAAGGCTTTCCTGAAGGTGTCAGTTTGCCGGCACAATTGAAACGTATGCATTTCTACCTTATTTTGCATTTCAAAAGCTCATCTTGGGATTGTAATCTGTGTGTCATAATTGAATTAAACAGTGTCTTGTGGTTTTCTAAACCTACAGGTTCGTATTTCCATATTTATAGTAATTACTTATCCCTAAATCAATAATTGTGCGTTCATAATATTTAAAATTCTGTTATATGAACATTTTTAGCAAACTTTTCGTAAGATGGCGGGATGTACTCACGTGCTTTTTCAATTAGGTGTGGTTGCGCTATTTAATTGCAATATAAAACGAAATCGTTACATCTAACAGCTAATCGCTTTTTTTTGTAAATGTATTAGAGCATCCCCGATACAAAAATCAACCCCATAATAGGTCTAAAACTAATTTGGCGGAATTAAGTTGGTTCAAATTATGGAAATTATATAATGGCCCTCATAGATGGCGCCTCGCACTCACGTGCTTCGCTTTAATTAATAAAATTTTAACCGTTCCTTACTCAAATGTAACAGACCTCATATGATTAATTTTTTTATTTGTCAGAGGTGTCTATTGACATAAGCTCTATTCTTATACAAAAATTAGCCGAAAATGATCTCAGGAGAGGTTTTTGTCACTGTTTTCTGCCTGCATCAATCAATAATTCTTGGGTTGAGTTGAGATGAAGGGGTACTTTTTGTGACTTGTTTCCAAAATGGCCCATCTCTACAGACAAATTGACCATACATTTTTTACCAACTCCTTTCCCCTTCATCGCTTTCCAATTTTGGGACAACCTGGACAACTTCTCTCATGGATTCATAAAATTTGTTGTGACAGCTTGGTTTATTGTAAAGTTACAACATTCCATGATAGCCGCAGTTTTTACAATCTGCGGCATCGAAAGTCGATGACCTTTGCCTTAAAAATCACACTAGACTAGAAGAGTAACAATTACAAATTACAAACAATGTTGCACCTTATCAGGAGTCACAACAAAGTCAATAAATATCGAAAAAAGGGGAAAATAATTACTTCAAACACCGTTACAACATGCATTAAATTGCTTAATCTTTATGACCAAGAAACTCTTATCAAGTGATAATTAGCAAACGCGTTTTCAAGGTTTATAATTTTTTTGGACGCAGGCGTGATGATATTCACGATTTGTTAAAAAACAATCACGGTGACTTGCTTGAACTAAAATATTTTAAATTTTAGGATATACAAGCAGCAAAGCCGCCAGAGATGGGAAGTTTTTTTCGCAGCGAGGAGATGGCTTTAGCCCAACTCTTCATTCAGCCTGAAGCAGCGTATTACTCAATATCGGAACTTGGGGAGACTGGGATAGTCCAATTTCGAGACGTGCGTATATTAGGTGTGCTTCATTATATAAAGTCGTAACGCTTGCAGTTGAATGAAACTGTAAATGCATTCCAAAGGAAATTCGTTAACGAAGTACGACGTTGCGATGAAATGGAACGCCGGTTGCGTTACATTGAAGGCGAAGTCAAAAAGGATGGTGTTACAATTCCCGACTGCTCGGAGTTACCAAAGGCTCCGAATCCACGAGAGATAATCGATTTGGAGGTAACTGATTCGTGCTTATTCCTTGGTAGACTCCATGATCTTTTCAGGCGCACTTAGAGAAGACCGAAGGGGATATCAAGGAACTCAGCGAGAGTGCCGTAAATTTGAAATCAAACTATTTGGAATTAACCGAATTGCGACATGTATTGGATAAAACCAGGGCATTCTTTAGCGAGCAGGATGAGGTTAATGGATCGACAATGGAGAATAAAGCTTTAATACCAGATGACATTCAAAACACAAGCACCGTCGGAGGACGACTCGGTTTTGTCGCAGGTGTCATTAACAGAGAACGGGTACCCGCCTTCGAACGCATGCTTTGGCGCATATCTCGAGGCAACGTTTTTCTTAGGCAAGCCGAAATTGAGAAACCCCTCGAGGACCCTGCTACTGTAAGTGCATCTTAGCACGCGCGCCAATTGCCAACGTTCTTTTAGGGTAACCAAATACACAAGACCGTATTTGCCGCGTTTTTCCAAGGCGAGCAGCTAAAGTCGCGCATCAAGAAAGTGTGCGCCGGTTTCCACGCGTCTTTGTACGCATGCCCGAACACCAAGGCGGAGAGGGTCGAAATGGAAACTGGACTACGCACCCGGCTGGAAGACCTGAATTTGGTAATTTCCCTCTACACACTTTGCAATGGCACTAGCAATCTGTACAGGTTCTTAACCAAACACAAGATCATCGCCAGAGGGTGTTGACGAGCGTTGCTAAGGAACTCCAAAATTGGAGCGTGATGGTTAGAAAAATGAAAGCGATCTATCACACCTTAAATCTGTTCAACATGGACGTAACCAAGAAATGTCTAATTGGCGAATGTTGGCTACCCATAAAGGATCGCGACATCGTACAGCAGGCTCTGTCCGATGGCTCAGTGAGTACCCCTCGGAGGTAAATGACGGTTACATTTCCATATTCTAGAGTGCGAGCGGCAGCTCAATCCCCTCATTCCTCAACATAATCAATACCGTCGAAGATCCACCGACGTTCAACAGAACCAACAAATTTACCAAGGGTTTCCAAAACCTAATCGATTCATACGGCGTAGCTTCATACCGGGAGGTGAACCCAGGTAAGCGTTTCCCTGCCACCAACGCCCGTTTCCAGTGTGTTTTCAGCTCTATACACTCTCATCTCCTTTCCATTCCTTTTTGCTGTAATGTTTGGTGACGCTGGACACGGTGTAATTATGTTGTCATTTGGCGCGTACATGGTTTTATGCGAAAAGAAACTTCAAGCCAAGAAAATCGATAGCGAGATATGGAATATTTTCTTCTCCGGCCGTTATATCATTTTACTTATGGGCTTCTTTTCTATATACACGGGGATGATTTACAATGATGTATTTTCGAAATCGTTCAATATCTTTCAAAGCAGTTGGCATATTTCGTTTAATGAATCAACTGTGCTACACAGCGAGGATTTGGAGTTAATTCCAGAAACTTCGTATAGAGGTAGTCCGTACGCGATGGGCGTAGATCCGGTTTGGCAGATATCTACCAACAAGATTATATTTTTAAATTCGTACAAAATGAAGCTATCCATCATTTTTGGAGTCATTCACATGATCTTTGGGGTTTGTCTCAGCGTGGTTAATCACGTGTAAGTACAGATCGAATTAGAGATTATAATCACGAATACGTTTTCTTGTAGGCATTTCGGCAGGTATTCCAACATCTTTTTCGAATTTTTACCGCAGCTAATTTTTTTGGTGTTTTTGTTCTTATGGATGGTGATTATGATGTTTATTAAGTGGATAATGTATGGCCAAGGAGGCGGTAAGGCCAAACGAACCCAACCTCGGGCACTAAGTATAAACTTTCAGATGTCAAGAAAGGGTCTTATTGCGCTCCGTCAGTTCTGATAATGTTCATTAATATGATGTTATTTAAACACGCGCCACCCCCGGAGCTTTGTGACGAGTATATGTTTGACCAGCAGAGCGATCTTCAAACGGGATTGGTTTTAGTATCGCTATTATGTATACCTGTCATGCTCCTCGGCAAGCCCATCTACCTACTTTGTACAAAGAAGTCGCACAAGCCTCACGTGAATGGGCGAAACGGAGACGTCAATCAGGGTATGGAATTACAACCTGAAGTCGTGGAGGAACAAAAATCAGTACCTCACGCTGCGCATAACGAGCATGACGATGGAATGGGTGAAATTATGATTCACCAAGCAATTCATACCATAGAATATGTGCTCAGTACGGTTTCACATACCGCATCCTATCTCCGTTTGTGGGCGCTGTCACTTGCTCACGCACGTAAGTATAAAATCCAGTATGATAATAATAATCACGAAAACTAATCTAGAGCTGTCCGAAGTACTATGGAACATGGTCTTACAAATGGGTCTAAAAAGTGAAGGATATGTGGGAGTTGTGATGATCTACTTTCTGTTCATCTTTTGGGCATCTTGTACCATTGCAATTTTGGTAATGATGGAAGGATTGTCCGCCTTCCTGCATACGTTGCGTTTGCATTGGTACGATGTTTACTAGTAATTCCTCTCGTTATGTTGGAGAATTTCAGGGTCGAATTTATGAGCAAGTTTTATGCTGGACTGGGCTATCCGTTCCAACCGTTCAGTTTTAAGGCAATATTGGAGACGGAAGAGGCGTCGGAGAGTTAGGAACAGCCTGTTCCTATGTAGTCGAACTTTTAGATGTAGTCTACTTTAGAGTCACGCTTTGTATTTTTTTGGACACCATGTGCCTTGATATACAAACATTATGTGATTAAAATTTCCTGTGATTGAATGTGGGCCCAAATTATGTATTTTACAAAAAGAAACATTATTTTGTATACATATTTTAAACTTTCAGTTTCAAACTGTATTACATTCTGACTACGAAATTTACTTCAATAAATGTTATCACTGTAATTAATTATCCGGCGTATAGATCATACTATATGGATTAGCCATAAACGAGTCATAGTGTCTGAAGGTGAAGAATATGATATCTAAATCTGCCGGCCTCGCCTCTCTGTACGTCTTGTCTGCAAAGTTAAGGAAGAAGGGGGGGTGTAGGTAGTTCGAATTATTTCTAGAGTGAAGGGGCTGATTCTCCCACGTATAATTGCGCGAAGTTTACGGGGTACTTCGGGATTAATATTCCGGAGGCGAAAAAAACCGAATTAGCATGCAGAACATCATTTAGAGTCTTATCGCTGTTACTTTATTCAATATCTATGTTGTTCTGGAGCGTCTCAAACGATCCCTGAGTCCTGACTATCAATTTGGGTTCAGACATAATCATTTGCCCATTGATCAAGTGCACCGACTGAGTAAAAGAAGTGTTCTTGGCCGCCCTGCTATGTATCCTTTACATTGCAGATATTCTGACAACGAAAAACACGTTTATATAAACTTTCGCTGATAATACTATCATGGATACTGGCACTTCAGCTTCACAAAAGAAGACAGTCGAAAAGCTCCAATTCGTCTTAGGCAAAGAAGCCGTTGACCTTTGCCAAATAAGAAAAATTTAAGAAGGCCAGCAACCTCAACACTCGCTTCAAAGACGTCCAAATTCTTCAAAAAGAATCTTATCTTGGTCTCGACTTGAATAAGAGATTCCCGGTAGGCAAAAAACGGCAAATCAAGCAGAAGCAGCGACAAATGTGCTGGTTAGTTGGCCATAACTCAAGTCCTAACGACTGATTTACTTATCAATTATAAAACCAATATGGATGCATGGTATCCAGCTCTGGCGTTCTACTAAACGAAGAGACGTTACCCAACACTTTCAAAACAAGTTCCTTCGAATGATCACCGATGTAACTACCAAGGAAATTCACCAAAGTTGTGTTTAATCCAGCCCAAATTACGATTTAACTAAAGAGTTCTCATGCTAAATTGGTCTGTTGGTACTTTCAATATCAGGACGCTTTATACGATCTTGTCACAACTTTCTACACTTTGAGGGCGTTCTGGGTTCGTTGAGCGCCCCCTATGTCAGAGTTATATGGTTCTGTGGAGTGCACAAAAGGTTATGAGAACTGAAGAAGAGGTGTACCTGAAATGCACCTTATATTTTCTGGTAACTGAAAAAAGCCTCTGGAAAAACTACTAAACGCTTTCTACAACAATTCTACATTTAGATTTCTTCCCAAACTCCTTCGAAGACTACTAGAGCGTTCGATACGCCTTTCGTAGCTTTTACATCCTTTCTACTTCTTTAGTTGCAGTTATCAGAAACTTCTAGTCCTTTTCCAGGGTTCTACAGGATTTATGTGTTCTGAAATTAATTTAAGAAAGCTCATGTAAGGTCCTAGAAGGTTTTCGAAAGGTTTTTAAATGCGTTTGAGAGTGCATTGTTAGCGCATCAGGAATTTGATAACAGTGATTTTTCCATTTTAGAGTTTTCTTCTATCTTTTACCATCTGAGGCCATTTTCGGAGCTTCACCGAATATCACGAGTAATTTCTTCTATTATGCGTATTTTAAAGATTTTCTTTTAACATTCTGCAGCTAAAAGATAGCTTTCATAAAATGTATCTGGTAATGTAACTTAGGTAGAAAAGTCTCACTGAATTCTTTGTTACTTAAATACTTAAAGATCTGTTCAATTACTTTGTAAAATCTTACGTTTATACACTTTATACTACGCGTAAGTACCTATACCATACCTACAGTGGCTGACGTCTTCATTGTCGTTTCCATTATTTCTGCACTTTCTTCCATTGTTTCTTACTATCTCAACAACCACCACTTTCTTCGGTTTAACTCATAGAATTACCGTAATTATTAATTCTATGGTTTAACTCCTTTTTTTTGAAAAGTGACCAATTATACGTGAAAATTATAACTTTTCTAATACCTAATTAGTGAGAAAATGCTAGTTTTTTTTTCTTTCAAAAACGGAGAGAAATAAAAAAGGTTGGATACTGGGAATAGTATTCTTACTGCCATTGATTGTTTAATTATATTCCCAAGAAGAAGTTATCAGAAATAGTTTAAAAGATACATTGAAGAATGAACATGGTTTCCATCGAATGTCGCTTTTCTGTTCTATTCCAACCGTTACTAGTTACTACATTGAGTGCATGCAACTATTTTCTGTGAAAGGAACAATAAAAAACACGCGCACCTTTGCAACAAACCATTTTTATGCAAAAAACCACAATTCTGAAATTATTTTCAGATCAAAATACTTTAAAGTAATGAATTAAGATACTATGGGTGATGGACTTAGAAAGGTACTATACTTTTCACTACAAAAAAACCATACTAATTCGGCGTTTTTTAAATACATCAATGGACTTTATGATTAAACGGAAGATTAGGGCTGGATGATTAATCAAAATATAAGAAGTAACGTTTATTAATTAAAATATTAAACTCACATTTTAAAATATTGCCGCTAGAAGATTACAGAATGTGAATAAATCATTTCTATAAAAATGTAGTTTTATTTTTCGTCCGCTTCGTCTTCGTCTATGAGTCTCTTAAAACAGAAGGGCGTAAAGGCATCCCCTGCTCCAATATACAATTTACTCATGAATTCCACCCTACATAATTAATCTCGTTAAAAGTATCACGTAATTTAAAAGAGTTTTTACCAATGCAAACTTAGCGTGTGAAGAAAGGCAGATAAGCCTTCCATGAGGACTAAAATGAGTAACGTTCCGATGGCTCAAGCCCCAAATTTTCTTTAATTACGTATTGTTAATACATTCTAGAAGTGTGACCAGTTAGAAGACTTAATTTTAAAATAATTGAAGCGAAAAGTGAAAAACGAATTTCTGAAATTTTGTAAAATGGTAGAATTTTTAATTCCAAACATTTTTCTCACCGGGAATTTTTTGTATGACAAAAATTAAGTGAGATGTAGATGTTTAAAACGCGTATTTATATGCGAGCACTACCTTGTTTTAGCCCTTTAAGCTCACCACATTTTAAAACTAAGAGTTTTAAAGGGTATTGATGTAAATAACCTTGCAGCTCTTATAAAAACCTGGTTTTTTAAAGCACTTTCTACCATAAACAGTAAAAAAGTTATGATTAAAAAAAGAACCAACATTTTTTTCGAAAAAATCTGAAAGCACAAATTGGAGCATGACGATCTACATGACCGGCATATATTTCGTATAATACACATTAGAAACGTACATGCACATTTACATGCATTCCATACACCTATACACTATGTAATGTATATAGAGGGCGATTCAAAAAGAATATTACCATTTCGAAAATCTGAAAGTTAATTAAAGCAACAAAATACAACCATAAGTGTTATATCAAAATGAAGAGTATTAAACTAAGGTTTTTTTCCACTAGAAAATAGGAAATACATAAACACTTCTTCTCTATGAACTGTTTAAAGTTTATATCAACGTTCGATATGCCATCTATTAGGATGTCCATACTTTGTTCGAAATGCACAATTATTGCACACTGAAGAACCAGTGGCGTAACTTCATTTTAAAGGCCCGTCCTCAAAAATATTTGGGGGCCCTTTCCCTTACGCTTAATATAACCGCTTGGATTTCTAATGACAACCATCTTAAAAATATATAAATGAAAGTTCACTAGAAATACACTCCAGAAGATTTGGATTCTTTAATAAAGATATCACCCTCATATCGATCTTCCGACGTTGCTTAACTCTGAACTTATTTATTCGCTGTTCAACGTTCGTTTTTTGCTTTTCTCTTGGAGGTTCCACTATGGTATTTTCGTCCATTCTGAGATGTCTGCTTTCAAAATTTCAAACGACAAGTACAGGTGGCGTATCTACAGACACCGCTGGAGATACATTTAAACTCATTTAGTTATTAAGTTTGATTAGCAATTTCTATTCTTTGTGTATGAATCCGCCTTTTTTGAATGACGGTAACTGTTTCGTCCATGCAGAGGTAAATGCTAGAGTGTTAAAAGTACTTAGTCGCATTCATCTCGAAATACAAATTCAGTTTAAGGTTACCGTATTCAGGACCTTCAGATATCTTCTGGACTGCAGAAGGTCCCGCTAATTAACAAAGTGTTTCATGAAGGTACTTTATGTAAGAGACTTCGGAATTTTATGTTTCACAAATGAGAAACGGGTGGAGTTGCTTTTAAATCTCTTTGAGCTGGCTACTTTTGAGCATATCAAATTTCGTATTAAATTAAGGTCAGATTTAAATGATATGATGATTTAAATTCAATAGTTACTTCCTCGGATTGTTAATTTTGTATGTTGTAGATATTGGTCCGGATTTTTCACCTATAGGTACCTATTTACCGCCTGTGAACAATGTTATCTGTTCCTTTAGTAACGCAAACTATGTAAATAATTAACACAAGCGTAACATTGAAGGAGTTCTGGAAATTTTCAATTTTTTTCAGTATTTTTTATATAAAAATTACATTTTTTGTACATTTTTGCCGGGGCCCCTTTTAAGTCGGGGCCCGTCCTCATTGCGTACCTTTGAGACATTGTAGTTACGCCACTGTGAAGAACTGTCGTCAATAATAGATTAACTTTTTGAGTGTAAATACTTGTTTTTATTAAACCACAATAAGGGTTGATTTTTAATGGTTGAAATATTCTGAAATAAACCCATAAAGAGCGTCTAAAAAAGCGGCAGAGCACCTCGGTGTGACCCACGGTGGTCGTGGTGTGACCCCACGGATGGATTTGACTCATTTTTAATAGACTTGTTACATGTGGCATATAAGTCAACTGTGCAAAGTTTGAACCAAATCGGTTCAAGCGGTTAACAGTTATCGTGTTCACGGACAGACGGACACCATCGATTCCCCTATAAAGATTGCATCGCTTTGCTCTGCCGCTTAATAATGTTCCAAAGCCTCTAACAATCACTACTCAACTCATCTGAACTAAATTTTACTCACATTAAGCTTTAGTATGTAGTTTTATGGGTTTAGGCAAA